CACTCAACATAATGTCCTCAAGGTTCGTCCATGTTATGCAGTGGCTTGCAGCTTCCTTGTTATTCTTCAAGGTAGCATAATATTCCATTGTGTGTATGTACCCAAGTTTGTTTATCCATTCTTCTATTGATGGGCACTTAGGCTGTCTCCATCTTTTTGCTATTGTAAATAGTGCTGCTATGAACATTGGTGTGCATATATCTACTTGTGTTATGGCTCGTATTTCTTGTGGATACATACCAAGTAAAGGGATTGCTAGAACATAAGGTATTTCTATTTCCAACTTTCTGAGGAAGCACCATACCATTGGACCATTTTGCAATCCCACCAGCAATGTATGAGGGTCCCAGTCTCTCCGCATCCTTGCCAGCATTTATTGTCCTCTACTTTTTTGATCTTCGCTGTTATTGTTGGTGTGAGATGATATCTCATTGTTGTTTTGATTTGCATCTCTATAATGTATAGCACCCCCATTTTTGCTATCCAATGTCTAAGTTGCCCTTTCCTATCAACCCAGTGTACTGAGGAAGCAAGCGTGATCCTTGATATGAAGAGTCCTTTCCTTTCAATTGGAATTTTGAGCAACTGCATCCATAAGCAAAGGTCTAGTTCATCAAATTCTAGCAATTTACACTTGCTGCCGGTATTAAATTTTTCAAATCTTCATCTGGTCGAGTTCTGGTCAGCTAACCATGCAATCTATGTCAAATGGATACTACTGCAAGTTTGGGAGTTCTTGCATGCCTACCCTCACTTCAGGCCAGTTGGCCACTTCATTCTCACTTAGCCTCTGGTGGCTAAGAGAACGTCCACAGGCTCAAGAGTTCACTCACTTGCCTAAACTTCAGACCAGCTGGTTCTTCCTCTTCTCTTTCTCATCTCAAGGTCAATGGGTGTCAATGGATCATGGCTAAACTCAGCCCATTTCTTCATTGCTTCATTTCCCCAACTTCTACTCACAAACAGACCAGGGTGATCACCAGCAAGCATGTAAGACTGCATGTGTGTTCCTTTTGAGTTTCAGTCTTAGAAGGGGGATTATTCTGGTGGGCTGACTTCTCTTGCCTTGATGGCTTTGAGGTAGACAGCTTGTTTGATATTCTAGCAGTCAGTCTGCTTTTTTTTTTTCTTTTTCTTCTGCTGGTCTTTCTTTGAAAAAATATCTTCTGTTCTTTTAGCCATTCTGAGTTGATCTGCATGTCTTTTCAAATGGGAATGTCCTACCTCAGAAGGTTTTGAGTGGGGCTCAGGATTCCACCTAAGGCTTCATATTCCACAAAGGCTTAACAAAAATCCTATTTCCCTAGTCAAGTTTGAATTCCTTTTTTAGCTAATCTAATCAGTTATAGGCTGCAGACTGACTTCAAGTTTTCTGAAACTATATTACTCAATATTCCTTTCTATCCCACTTAAATGTCTATTTTGCAATAGAAGGCAGGGGAAACCAATATCCACAAGACAGTCAATCCCTTTAGCATTATTTCCCCTCCTTTACCCATTCTGACTATGTCTGGATCCCTGTATCACAGAGCCCTGTTGTTCCAAGGTTGAGTATATATCATTAGTTATCTCTGTCCCATATAGGCCATAAGGGGCTCTGGTAGCGTATTGGTTATGAATTGGGCTGTTAACCTCAGGGTCAGCAGTTCGAAACTACCAGCTATTCCATGAGAGAAAGATGAAGCTTTCTGCCTGTAAACATTCACAGCCTTGGAAACCCTGTTCAGAGTTGCTATGAGTCAGAACCAACTCCACAGCACATAACAACAACATTTAGCCCATGCAAACCTCCCTAAGTCTTCCCCTATCTTCCTTGTTGTCCACCCACCTTCCCCTTCTTGTGTATTGCTCTCCCATTCCTTGCATATTGCCCTCCCTACCACCAGAGTTATAATGCATCTATCCTCTAACCTGTGCCTTACTTTCCCTGCCATCCCATTTCCGGTAACCATCAAAGAATTTTTCTTTTAGTATGGAAATCTTTTCTTTAGCTTTTACAATAATGGTTTTATGTAATATTTGCCCTTTTGTGACTAATTTCACTCAGCACAATGTCCTCAAGGTTCATCATGTTAGGTGTTTTGCAGTTTCATCATTATTCTTCCAGGTAGCATAGTATTCCATTGTGTGTATGTACCAAAGTTTGCATATCCATTCTTCCATTGATGGGCACTTAGGCTGTCTCCATCTTTTTGCTATTGTGAATAGTTCTGTGATAAACGTTGTTGTGCATACTTGTGTTCTGGCTCATTTCTTGTGGATAGGCTCTGGTAGTGTAATAGTTACAAATCAGGCTTTGAACCTTTAAGGTCAGCAGTTCGAAACTACCAGCTGTTCTGTGGGAGAAAGATGAGGCTTTCTGCTCCCGTAAAGATTTACAGCTTTGGAAACCCTGTACAGCATCGCTATGAGTCAGTTCCGACTCCATGGCACATAACCACCACCACCAAAGGAATTGCTGAATCATAAGGGAGTCCTGGTATGGCGCTGTGGTTAATGCGCTAGACTGCAAAGCCTTTTGAACTGCAAGGTTGGTGGTTCAAGATCACCAGCTGCTTCTTGGAAACCCTATACAGGGTTGCTATGTGTTGGAACCAACTCGACGGCCCTTAACAACAACAACAATGACAGTGGCTAATGATTGTGAACATTTCTTCATATGTTTGTTGGCTGCCTGAATGTCTTCCTTGGTGAAGTGTCTGTTCATGTCCTGTGCCCATTTTTTAATTGGGTTAATTTTCTTTTCCTTGTAGAGGCGTTGTACTTTTCTATGGATTTTAGAGATTAGTCCCTTGTCTACTATGTCATAGCAAAAAAAATTTTCCCATTCTGTGGGCTCCGTTTTTACTCTTTTGGTGAAATCTTCTGATTCACATAAGTTTCTAATTTTTAGTATGTCCCAGTCATCTATTTTGTCTTCTTTTCTTTTGTATTTTTGCAATGTTTGACAGTCTATATGTGCACTGTATTAGAACCCTTAAATTTGTCCCTGTCTTTTCACTGATGGTCTGTATAGTTCTGGGATTTACATTTAAGACTTTAATCCATGTTGAGTTAGTTTTTGTAAATGGTGTGAGATATGGTTCTTATTCCATTCTTTTGCATATCCATTTCCAGTTTTGCCAGGACCATGTGTTGAAGACACTAGCTTCTCCCCATTCAATGTCTTTTGGCCCTTTGTCAAAGATCAGTTGGCTGTATGTGGATAGATTAACTTCTGGGTTTTTAATTCTGTTCCACTGGTCACATAGATACATAATCTTTCAGTGTACCAATACCAGGTATTGTTTTGACTACTGTAGCTATGTAGTAAAATTTGAAATCAGTGTTGAAAGATTTCTATTTGCACTCCATTAATTTCTGGAGCCTTGTTCTTTGTGAATGCCCCTAGCCTTGTTTTGGCTGATGATATAGGGCTTTTCTACCATCTCTTCCTACAGATGTAGTCTGTGCATTTGCTTTCTGTGCATTCTAGGCATTTTCAATAAATAAGTCATTGGTCTTGCAAAATTCTATCATGAGCTCTCCAGCATAGTTTCTATCACCAAGGCCATATTTTCCAACTACTGATCCTTCCTGTTTCCAACCTTTGCATTCCAATTGCCAATAATTATCAATATATCTTTATTGCATATTTGATCAATTTCAGACTGAAGAAGTTGGTAGAATTCTTCAATTTCTTCATCACTGGATTAAGTGGTTGGCACGTAAATTTGAATAATAGTTGTATTAACCAGTCTTCTTTGTAGGCGTATGGCTATTATCCTATCACAGACAACATTGTACTTCAAGACAGATCTTGAAACGTTCTTTTTGATGATGAATTTCTCTTCAGTTTGTCATTGCTGAGCCATGTGATTGTCGCATTCAAATTGGCCAGTATCAGTGCATTTCAGTTCACTAATGCCTAGGATATCAATGTTTATGCATTCCATTCATTTTTGACAACTTCCAATTTTCCTAGATTCATACTGCGTGCATTTCATGTTCCGATTATTAGTGGATGTTTACAGATGTTTCTCCTTGCTTTGAGAAAATATTAGTAAATGAAGATCCTGGAAGCTTTACTCCACTCCTGGCATCACAGTGAACTTTAATTTGAGGAGGCAGCTCTCCTCCCTCAGTCATATTTTGAGTGACTTCCAATCTAAGGGGCTTATTTTCTGGCACTATACCTGACAATATTCATAATGTTTCAGTCTTCAATATTCTGGTGCTATCTGACAGTGTTGCACTGCTATTCATAAGGTTTTCAGTGGGTAAACATTCAGAAGTTGTCTGCGTTTCTGCAAATAATTTTAGCTATATGGAGAGAAATTTTACTGAAGATAAATGTTACAATAGTCATTATTAATGGTTGGTCACACTCAGGGAAAACGATATCACTTATCATCTTTTCTCAGGGGTGAAATGTATAGGCTATACTGGATGTAGGAACAAGAGCATGGTGGAATACTATGCAATCAGAATGAACAAATCTCTATGGAGAGATATCTAAGATAGGCCAAACTAAAACAAGGAGAAGGAAAGCAGTGTATATAGGATATACATGAAACTATTTGCATATGTATGTATAAATTCTCTCTGGAAGGATGTTTAAGTAATTGGAAAATTTGTGTTAAGGATAAATAGGTTTGGAATTTGGGGTCAAAGAGAGTATCTTAATATACATTCAATTTTGTACTGTATTAATTTTTGCCATGTACATATAATATTTTTCAAACAAAGATACTGATAAAATAAGCAGAGAGATCCATTTTATTTTGCTTGGTTGTCAGCATCAAACAGTCTCATTCTTTTTAATTTTGTCTGGTGAAAGTGATGGTTGCTGTAATTGTAAAAGATGAAATGTAGAGAAATCAATTGTTTGTGAATTTATGAAAAAGGAATTAAAATTGAGGCAAAATGCCTACCCTTGCCATTGAATGAAAACTTTAAAGTTTAGTTGAGGAATGTGAGAGATGTAGATTTTCATTTTGGAATATTCCATGTGATCTCAGGTTTTACAGAAGAAGCAGCAGGACAGTAAGAAACTGGCATCACTGTCAATCCAAAATGAGAAACGTGCTAATGAGCTCGAGCAGAATGTAGATCACATGAGATACCAAAAGGCACAGCTGCAAAGAAGACTTCGAGAAGAAAATGAAAAAAAGAAGCAACTGGATGCAGAAATTAAGCGGGATCAACAAAAAATCAAAGTAATACTGTCATATTTTCCTGCTCAGCATAATATGAAATGTTAAATGGCTCAGAGCTAACGAAGCCAAGGTCTTGATTCATTTGGCTTCTGAGTTACCTAACCTTGGCCTGCCCTTGGCTGCTGTCCTTAATCACTTGAAAGCCTTGCTCATCTACATAGTAAAACTGGTTTGTTGAATTCTGGATATTGTCATGAGGGCTTTAACTTCATAAAAGAAGGTACAGTGATACAGTTTCCCTTACAGGACCATAACTAGTTGAGGATATAAAAAACTTATATACATTTATATATATGTGTGTATACATCTATCTATCTATCTATCTATCTATCTATCTATCTATCTATCTATCTATCTATTTATCTATCTATCTATCTATCTATCTATCTATCCCTGGTGGTGCTATAGGATGAGCACCGGACTGCTAACTGTAGGTCAGCAGCTCAAATACACTAGCTGTCCCGTAGGATAAAGAGACTTTCTGCTCTCATCTATGCATATACATGAGGCTGTCTGCTCTTGCAAAGCTT